ATAGTAATATAATTTTTAACCTTTCATGTTCATTCAGTCTGAATTTTAAATTTATTCTAGTTTGTGCTATATAAACTTTTTTACATTCGCATAAAATTTTATATATGCCAAATTTTTCCATTAAATCAATTTTATCTTTAGTTGTATTAAGAATTTGGCTGACTTTCTTTATCAGTTTGTATATCGGAAAAATATTTGTTTTTAAATTTTTTCATTATTTGACAAGATAAACCAGGTATATATGATAGTACTAAACATTCTTTCTTACTTTTTTCAGCAAATGGTTTTACCTTAATATTTTTATTCCTGTTTTTTTTTTAGTTTTATGACAGCTCTGTCAACAACATTTGGATTAAAACCTCTTTCCACAGCTATGTGCTTAATTACCAATAACTCATTATTGATATCATCCTGTTTAAAACATAATTTTAGTATCCTGTCCACATAAGAGTAAATAACACAGGTCTTTTGAGATGTAGTGTAACAAAATTGTTGATGTTTGTTAAGGTACTTGGATGATACATTTTGGACTTAGCGATATGGTAAATACGAACTAGCTGATTTTGCTAATTACCTTAACATTGATAATTCTATAAGATTTAATTGTTCAGAGCATCCCTACCAAAAGTAATTATGTGGATCATCTGCGATGCTAGGTGATGTGGGAAGCACCTCTGCCGATTCTAATTCCATTTTAGTAGTTGTGGGGGAGGGGCGTAACATTTCTCATGCTGGTATATTTGTGGTGAACCTCCACGAAGAAGTAATTAAGTAGAATATCTTCATGCAGACCCTAACACTGGTTATTATATGGAAAACCCTTGCTGATACTATGGTAGTCGTGTGGAAAATCTTCTCCAACTGAACCCCCCCCCCCCCACCAGCATTAAAAATAGTTGTTGATCTATTATAACCCATTGATATTTAAAGAAGTACTTTGTACAAATGCATAAAACTGTAATAATGCCAGCAATAGTAATGAGCAAGTAACTAAAGAATAAATATAATGTACAAAAAAAAATAACTCTTATCGACAGCCAAGTTTGTAATTCTGTATACAAGTTTGGCCTGTCGAACCTAGTCTGGATATTTGTATGTTTTGGTAATTGTTTAATCATTTGTGTATTATTATGTTAGTGTTATTTCAGTTTAACTACCCAATAATTTGTAACACTAATAAAATGTTTTACTAACATGGGCACAGGTTGGCCTTGTGGCAGAGCCCGGGGTTCGAATCAATGCGATACCTTAAACTATTCCCCGCTCTTTAAGCTGTATGCGAATTATACGAGTAACAGTCAGCCCTTTAGTGTGGATGGTAGTGCTAACTATCTGCCTTTCTTCTGGTTAATAGCTCAAAATTATAGACCGCAGCAGACAGCCTTTGCAGCTTTGCCATTAATACAGATTTCCTAACATCACATTATCTATTTCTCTCTTTCTCCATCTTTTAAAACCTGTTCACAAGTGTTAAAACACTTAGTTTGTTGTAATTCATATAATAAATCAATAAATAAAACTGGTCATTTTTTGTTTGTTTTTTATTCTGACTCGTATGGTAGTATACCTAGAAATGATAAATTTCGAAAGTAATTCATTAAAATGTTTCCACTACTCGATGTGACAAATAAGTGTACTCTGTATGATAAAAAGATACTTTCGGTTAAAAATGCACTAAAAATGAGCAGAAATACTGGCCTGTCCTATTAAAAATACCAAGTTTACGTGTTTTTTTTTTGTTTTGTTTTTTAATGTTTAGAACAACTTAGTATCATTGTCGTTTAATAACGCATATCGTACATTTCAATCATGTTGGCACGTTAGTTCATAACTTAAACCTTACAAACAAATACAAAGGTAGGCCAAATGTTTCGAACTATGAAAATCTAACAAGCTGACATGGTCCGCTTCAACATTACTGAAACGTTAAGAGTTAAATACTGCTATAACATCGCCGAACTTGCTTAATACAAGTCGAGACTAGTAATCAAATTTTAACCTCATATAGGTACCCTCTATAATATCTTACTATGGCTGTAGGTTTGTGTATTCAAAGTAAATGCTTTTTAACAGTTAACAAGCATTACGTTTGCAAATATATTACCATTCAGTGAACTTGGGGGTTCCTTCGGACCTATGATGAATACACATAAATAACACCGATATTTAGTAAGCAAGATTTCATGTAAACAAGTAGATATACTTTCGATGACGAGGAACCCACTTTGAGACTAATAATGGCTGGAGACGGCTTAAATGGGTAATGAAGAAAAACTTTAATATAAGTTT